AGAAGAGGAAGAAGAAGAAAATGGGCTAGGGCTAGTTTGTTTTTAAACTCTTTTCTTTAACTTGTTTCAAAAACCTAAAAGTCCACATCTTATTCTTTAAGGTGGTCCAACTAAATAACACAAAGACCCAAAACAAAAGCCCAATAATTATACTTTAAAAATAAAAATAAACCCCACAACAACCCAAAATAAAATAGTCAACTTAAGCTCTAAAACCCAAGAATAATAATTCAAAGAAAAGTAGAATTTAGGAAGGAAAATCCTAAAACTCGTGAATTTAAAATTTAACTAAAAATCTCCTACACAGGTCGAGAACCTAAATTATCTTAATCCAAAGAAATTATACTTAATTCTAATTTAGCCAAAAATTAGAATTTCAAAGTTAGGAAATCCAAGAATCAAAGTTATCAACTTGAGGAAAAATCCAAAGACACTATTTATCTCTTAAAATAAACGAGTCAGAGAACGTGGGGCATTACAGATTCAGCCCAGAGTATTAGAATTAAGCAATATTATTATTCACTTCAATTAAGAGAAATTGTAGAGAAATCTTAGTTACAAAAGAGATAAGATTTTACAGACCAAAGAGAAGCAGTAACCGTAATATCCTTCAAGAGACTTGCAGATGATTTCGATGAATTAGAGAATGTTCTATTGTTTCGCTCTAGTAAAGTGTGCCAAAGAGTAGAGCCTAGTATTGCTCCATAAAATAATGTTCTTCTGGTTTGTAAGCGGGAAGGAAAGACTTTCAGATCAACTTGATTTGGGAGAACAAATTCGGCATGGAAGGAGTCAAATAGTCTATTCCAAAGACCCGTTCTGTAAGGGCAATGAAGGAAGAGATGGTCAAAAGAATACATTATACTCGAGCTAATTAAACCAATTTGACTATCGTCCAACTATCTTGTACATTTATATTTGAGATTGAATGTTCGAATTCTGTTGAATTAAAAAAATAATAATAATTCAATAAATAACCTGGTCAAACCTTTTGAATTGGCACAACATAGGTTGGCTGTGTCAAGCAATTAAAGAGAGAAAGTGACAGTAGCTGTTGGTTGGTCTGGAAGAGATTGACTTGACTTTGTTTCCTGACATTTGCATCAGTGACCTGGTCTGGTCTCTAATAAAGTTATAACTTTTATTTTCCCATGTGACTATTGTTGAAAACCAACCCAAAAGTAATTTCTCTTCTCTTAATTTATGATAGCCATCACACACCCATTCGCTCCTACTTAAAATTGCATCTACCTTATTAATTAACTATTTGGGTCTTTGTCCTTTAATATCTTCTGGGTGTAAAATATGAACACAATAGCTTGAAACTTTTTACCCTTCCAAGTGAATATTGTTGAAAATAAGCCGAGTAATTTATGTGCTATTTATGGTAGCCACGTTGGGAAATTAACGGTCCTATATAATTTTTCCTTCCACATAAAATATCAAACACAACCAATAATATGCAAATAGGAATAAAAATAGTAAAGAACAAGAATACGATGATATAGCAAATTATACTGGTTCACCACTAAGAGTTACTTCCAGTCTTCCACTCAGATGTTGGTAATTCACAAAAGCCCCCTAACTTCTAAGTATTTTACACAATTAATATTTAGGTACATGAATGAAAAACTCACAATAATCAAGATCTAATTACCCCGAATATGTTGATCTTGATGAGCCTCAATGCCTCTGCTAATGCCCGAGCCTCTCCCTTGAAACTGGCACGAAACCCTCTGAAAAAGAGCTCAAAATCGACAGGACAATAACCCTTTTTCGACTGCAAAACCCTAAACCCGAAGCTGCTCTTTTATAAACATCGACGTCATGGCACTACGGACGAAACAACGTCTGCGCCTCCACATCATCTGGACAGCGTCGCGACGCTGCCCATTCGGCCCTCATGACCTGCAGCTTCCGCTTTCCCCTGTTTTCATCCTGCTTCGACCCCGATGCGTCCCGGCTCGATCACGACTCGATCCCGACTCATCCCTAATTCGATTCGATGTCGTTTTGACTCCACCAATCCCAACAAGCCACCCATCAGTCGTTGTACTGATTAATAAAAATGATAGGCTAAGAAGCTTGCCTTTTTAATAGCCCCTTCCCATAACTGAACTCACTCTTCATTTTCTTCCCTCTTTATCACCATCTAGCTAGGAGCGATATCTCCTTCCATCAATTTGCAGGCAAGTTACTTAATCTCCTTCCATCAATTTGCAGGCAAGTTACTTAATTATCCTCTTTCCCCTTTTCTTTTTTTCTTTTTAATTCATCGAGCTTCTTTTTGGCCAATTCTCTAAAAAAGGAAAACAAGTAACAAGATATTCCAAGCACAAATATTTTCTCGCCTATTTGTTAGGTCAAGTTTTCCACAATACTTCTTACTGACTAGGACGAACAAAGAAAGAATGAGGGCAATTGTTTTGTCACCTTAATTTATGTTACATTTTAAAAATTATATAAAAAATTTTTAAGGTGAAAGTTTTCTACCCTCTAATTTGGTCCTCGACGTTTTTAGAATGAGGGACCATTCTCTAATTTACCTTAATTAAGTTTTAAAAATTTATACAAAAAATTAAAATGTTAAACTTCCAAGCTTTTCCCATTTGTTAGAATGAGGGAGAAATTTTCTTTGTTCTCTGATTTGTCTTCAATATAAAAGATTATAAAAAAAATGTTTTTATAAATTAAGATTTCAACAATTTGCTCCTATATTTTTGTTTAATAATGTCTCTCCATCCTTCTCGAAAATAAGGAATTAGAACGATGTGGCTAGAATTTAAGAAAGAAATCCAAAAGGATTAAAAGGGACTACCAACAATGTGCAATTTTTTTATACTCATCTAATATAGACCTCTTATTCAATCAAAAGTCCCTTTAATTTAAACCAGATTTTCTTTTTCTTAAAGGATACTGGAACCATTTCATTCAAAAGGGTTTGTAAACATCCATATTCAAAAATGAAGTTAGAGAAAAACACTCTAATAGAAAGAAATGGTGGAGATATAGTAATTAAGAAATATATGCGACTTAGATAGATTTTAGACCGTCTGTAGAATATCTGTTATTTCTTTCCAGTCAAATGGAACGCTATCCAATTGTCAACTCCTGTTTCCATATATATACATTTATGTTCACTTTTGAAATATATGCGATCTCTATGGTTTAAGGAGATTTGAAATGGAAGATAACCACGTTGGAACGCATCAACAGAACAAGGACGACGGATGTTATGGTATTGCAAATATTTATAAGGTTGAAGTTGGACAATTGTCGACCCAACATAATTCAAACCATGTGTCATCCATCAAAAAAATGCTTTCGGATTTGCATCCTATGACTGAAGAATGCAGCATCTATCGGGTTTCCAAACGATTACACAATATTCATGATATGGCCTTTGCGCCTCAAGACATTTCTATCGGTCCTTTTCACCATGGTCGAAAGGAGTTGATGGCCATGGAACAACTTAAACTCCGCTTTCTGCATGGTTATCTACGCCGTGTAGGAATGGAAGTTAAGGCTGCATTTGATATTGCTCGGGAATGGGAGATACGAGCCCGCAAGTGCTATGCAGAACCCATAGACATGAAGAGCGAGGACTTTGTGACAATGATGCTTGTGGATGGATGTTTCTTAGTGGAGTTGTTCATAATGGATTATGAATTCAGTGGAACTCAAACCCAGTTAAGCTATCCATTGTTCAGTGCTATAAGTACTGACTTACTTCATGACTTAATACCGCTTGAGAATCAACTCCCTTATTTTATTCTTGAATGTCTTTTCAAAATTAGTGACTATTCCTGTATAGATTGTATAGTCGGCTATCTCGGTGGTTGGTATATAGGAGCGCATGTGCTTCCTAAGGTGCCCACGAGAGAAGCAAACCACTTGGTTGATTTATTAAGCTTTTACTACGCCATCCCCACAGTGACAATTAGTGGAAACAATGGCCAGGAATGGGAGCGTCCGCCAACTGCAACCCAGCTTAAAGAGGCTGGTGTTAAGTTCCAGAAAGCAACAGATTGCAAACACATTACAGACATAAGCTTCCAGGACGGTGTTTTGAAGATTCCTTGTTTCCAAATTACGACGACCTTTGAAACCCACGTTCGAAACCTGTTGGCGTTTGAGCACTATTACCACTTGGGGCATCATAAGAGGTGTTTACAATATTTTTCATTTCTAGACGATTTGATAAACACAGAGAAAGATGTAAATTTACTTGTGGAGGCAGGGATCATCTCCAACAATATTGGCGGTAATAATGAAAACATTGCGAAATTGTTTAACGATATGGTCAAACATGCCAACATTACATCCTATATTTTCTACTACAGCCAAATTAGCCTGAATTTACGTAAGTACTGCAAGACACAGTGTCACCGGTGGATGGCTTCACTGAGACGTGACTATTTCAATACGCCATGGACTTTTATCTCCTTCCTTGCTGCAACCTTCCTCATTCTCCTCACCGTCGTGCAAACCCTCTACTCTGCTCTATCTTATTCCTAGTAATTAAACCACGTCGCGGTTTTTAATTAGTTAATTTGTTTTAGGTCTACTGTGTTGCTTACCTTCTTTTAAAACTTAAACCGGCCACCGTGCATTTACCACTTGCTTTATTTGTTGAATTAGTTTTTCAAACAATATTTGTCATATATTTACCTAATATTTCATTTGTTTATTATGTTTAAGTAGTATTGTGGATTCATGACTTTTCAATAGGGTGGTTTAGCTTGCTGCGTAGAAACCATCCCATCAAACTTAAAGAATTATGGCTATCTTACATAACTTTCCTCACTCTTTCTCCAAACCATATTCTCTGATCTATCCATTTAAATTAAGTACTAAACCATGATATACACATATGCATATGCATTTCTATCTTTATCGTAGTTTGTTTTAATTTTACTTTATTGCTCATTTACTTGTGCTACCTCTGCTGTATTGGGTTCTCAAATAAATATTATTTTATAATATTTATGAACCCTAAATGTCCTTTGTTTGGTGTGGTGTTAACCAGTTGTCTCATCGATATAACTTTATTTTATGTAAGGTACTATGAGACTAATCATTACTATCAGAGAGCACCTATTTAATTTGTCTTTTAGCAATTACTTAAAGAAAGAGAGTTCTTTTTGTCGGTGAGAAAAATCAGAAGGCAATAATAAATGGGTGTTGGCATTGTACACCACCCTACGAGGACAGCTAGCCAGTGGGGTTTTATTTTAAATAAAAATAAAAAATGAATATAATATGGAGATATTTGCATGTATGCAAAATGGAGCAAATATCAAAGTGTTGAAGTGAATTTTTTTTAACTATAAATTTCCTTAAACTTTATAGTACTAAATATAACTAAGTCAACTAAAGAAACATAAATAATTTTTTTTTATTTTCAAATCCAAGAACACCCATTACTACACCAATAAAAGAATTTCCTAAAATAACAACCCATAAATCCTTATCTTTTTTTTACGTCTCACATACTTCAATGAATCGTTCCGGTATCTTATTGAAAAAAAAATTAAAATAACAACTCATAAAGATTTGGTGTTTGGGTGAAAACTTCAAGTAGAGTGAGTTGTCTGAATTACTTATTTTTTCCTAAGATATTAGGTTAACAATAATATAAAAAATTAATTACAAGTTAAACATAAAACTAATCAACTTTATGATTCCCAATTTTCAGCGGATCAAACTAAAATTCTTACCAAACAATTACACTCCTCTCCATCATTAATGCCCCATATATATTTGTTCAGACAGATTCAGCCAAGAGTATTAGAATTGAACGATATTGTTATTCACTGTCTTTCATCACAAGGCTGATCTAAGGCTAATTAAGATAATCTAACCATAGCTCAATTATATTATTATACATTTGTTTTAGAGATTGGATGTTGGAATTATGTTGAACTAAAGTGAATAAATAAATAAATAATGTTAACTTTGAAATGTATAACATAGGTTGCTGTCATGCAATTTAAGAGAGAAAGTGACGGTAGCTATATTTTGTCCATTCATGGTCTTCAAAGTCTTTAGTTGCTTAGCTGTTTGTTGATCTGAACAACTCACTCTACTTGTTTGTTGGGTTTGCAAAGGGAATGCAGAAAAAGTCTCACATTGGTCACGGAAGAGCATAATTCATAGTATATACACGAAGAACAATTATCTTCATTAGTATGAGGTCTTTTAGGTGAAACTGTAGCTAAAATTGCTTACTGCAAGTATATGCGGGAAATTAACGGTCCTGTATAATTTCCACTTCCACATAAAATATTCACACACAACCACAATATGCAAATAATAAAGAAAACTGTAAAGAACAAAAAACAACATAGCAAAATTATACTGGTTCACCACTAAGGGCTACGTCCAGTCTTCCATTCAGATGTGGGTAATTCACTAATATTCGTTAAGGACAGGATACAAAACTCTCCCCAAAAATATCCCCTAGAGGTTCTAACAAAAACCCTCTAGCTTCTAAGTATTTGACACAATTAATACTCACTAGTATAAAGTTGGTCTTCCATGACAGTTGTGAACAGTAAAAAAGTTTGGATGAAAAAAAAACTGTCATAAATCATGGGGGCACGTTTTTGGCCGGAAAAAACGCTATTTTTCGGATTTTGTAAGTTTTATGACAGTTAAAAACTGTCACGAAAATCGAAATTTCAATGACAGTGGAAAACTGTCACGAAATGGTGGAGGCGCGATTTTGGCGGGAAAAAACGGCAATTTACGAAAATTTTCAAGCTTTTATGACATTTTATTGTCAATGAAAATAAAAAAATCAAGTATTTCATGACAATTACCTAGACGATCTTGATAATGTATGACATACAAAAACAAATGATTTTGAGCGCGTTTCATTTCTGTCGGAAAAACTGCAGCTTCGTTAACGATATTAATTATTTCGGGATTGTTCGGTCGCATCGAGTATAGATTTATGCTTAATAGTTTCCCCAAATACTCTATGAAACAAGTAGAAGATGGTATTTGTTACAGTGGTATGCTTATCCTGCGTAATTGTGTCCTTCCTCTCTTCTGTCCCGAGTTTGAGCCTTATGAATTTAAATTATTTTTTCAACCCTCTATTAATATATTTTTATAAAAAAATAATATAAGTTAATTCTAGTTTCACCAAGCATTCCGTAAATAAAATATTCATATTTAAATTATACCCTTATTTTTTTTATTGGAATGAAAGGTAATCAACTTAATCGAATGGTTAGGAATTAATTTGAGTTTAAATTGGAACTAGTTAGGTTCATAAAGCTTTAAATTTTTATAACATAAAATTTTGAAGTTTAGATAGAAATTTCCAAAATTAAATCTTAGTTTTGAGAATTTGTTTTTTTTTTATTAGATTCTTGTTTAAGAATATTAATAGTAACTTTTTGAAAGATATAGAAACAAGTCAACAAAATGAAAAATAAAAACTTAGTAGATATTTATTTTTGTAAAATATATATATATATATATATATATAATGATAACATATTTAGTTACTTGTGTGAATTGAACGCTCAAGACCACTAAGATTTATGGACACATGTGTACACCAAATACCAACAAAATAAGCTGATTTTATGAAATGTTCAAGTATAATATTAATATAGTAATCATTTTTTCATTGTAGGTAATTAAAATTAAAATAAATTAAATCAAACCACGCCATTTTGTGAACTTCTTTCTTCCTCATCTGTTTTCGATGTTTTTTCAAAAAACCAAAAGTTCATTATCTTCCTCGCGCCGTCGTTCAAGATCTGTTACCTAGATGACGCAAATTCACATAATTGATCGTCAACACTACAAGAATGATGAGTTTTTTCCAACGCTTTTATTCTCGACGCTGGGCAAACATCTTTTTCCCGATTAAAGAATAATAGTCGAGACTCTGCCAACTATTGCCTAAAATAATCAAGAAAGGAATATATTTTTGACGCTTTTATTATCGACACTGGGTGAAGTTACTCTTACCGACGCTTTTGCCTAATAGTCGGTTAAAATTTTGTTTTTATATATTACCACTCCCGACGATTTTTGAAATAGTCGGGAGAGGTTTATATTCCCGACTATTTTATTATATAGTCGGACGAAATTTTTCTTAATTTTTTTAAATTACCACTCCCCACAATTTTTAGAAAAAAAGTTGAATAGTGGACTTTTACACCAATATTTTAATAAATTGTTGGGCGCTATTGTTTTTTATTTTTTTAAATATTACAATTCCCGACTATTTCGAAAATAGTCGGGACATATTAATATTCCCGACCATTCTAAAATAGCGTCGGTAATATATATTTTTAAATATTACAATTCCCGACTCTTTTGAGAAAGATGAGGCTTCTAATGTTGGGGAAGAAGATATTGAGAAAGATGATTTCTTCCCAAGTTTTCGAGTTATTTTTTTTTTAAGATTTAAATTGTGCATTTGGATTTTCCCTTAAGCTGATAATTAAATTACTCGATCTTCTAATTTTAGACATCTATTTTTAGGTAAATTAGAACTTAAAGTCCAATCTCGTTAGATTGAGATGAATTAAGTTTTAAATTTTTTTTAAAGAGATTTTTTTAATTAAATCTTAATCCAACGTTTAGGGAATTTATTTTCTCTTTTGAATTTTATGGTTGGGTTTTGAAAGTTAATTTTTTTTCCCAAATCCTTTTTAGAGTGGGATTTCGTTTAACATAAAGAATTATAATTTATTTCAAATTTATTCTAAATTATTTCCTTTCATTTCATTTTGTTTTTTTATTTTATTCTGGATTGACGTGAGTTTGTTATGAATTTTAATTCTAATAGCATTGGTGTTTTCGCTTGGGCTTTTCTTCTGAAAATCGTTAGTTTTAAAGAAAATTAGAGTTTTAGTTTTACCCA